ATTTGATGCTTGATACTGATGTGTTTGATTTACAAACCTGCACTAAAGAACCCTTTAAGAAGTTCTGCGCTATTGCCTAATTGTTTGGCATAGCACAACAGAGATCCTATAAATTGCTGTTTATTGTTATATGTAATTCTAGGCATATCACTGACTGAATTGATGTCTCAACTGAGTATTTACAGTACCATTCCGTACAATACAACACATGCTGGATAAAGACGGAGTAATGCATACCAGGTTCTTATCTCATATAGTGAAGAAATGAAACATCTTTAAAGATCCAATGCAGATGTTTTTATCTCAATATCAAATCATTTCTTGGTAGCATATTTGTACCTTTAGTGTTATTGTTTTCAATTAAAATGGTCAAAAATAAACAAAAATAGTTTCTTATCAAAGACTGTCTGGGAGTGGTCTGAGTGGGGAGGGGAAAACTGAAAATTAGCTGTTATTGGCAGAGAAGTTTGGAACTCTCTTTCTTATTGGTTAATTAACCAATTTACTTCCTGATGATGTCACCAGCCAGGCCAAAACTCCATTCCACCAAAAAAGGCTGAAATGTCAGGCATTCTTTTCAAACAGCTCTTACACTAAAAGGGCATTATCATAATTTTCACAACTAAAAAAAAAAAAGTATATATAAAAAACAGGAAAATCACATTTTTGACTGCACCTGGCCTTTAAAATATCTAGTTGATGTATTTGAGTCAGCAATGACCTAGAGGTTAGACCAAAACCATTATGTGAAGTTCACATCTTGCAAATCGTAAAAGTCCAAGATAATTATAGTCTATCTACAAATGTATCTATGTCACATTTGTCTAACTGTCTAATTAGAGCAGAAATAGCAAGCGGGGACGTTGATAATTAGATACTGATCCATATGGATGTGTGACGTGAGGAAGGAGAATCTCTGGTGTCGTAGTCTTGAACCAGCTGTTTCTCCCCCCCAGAGAAAGCTAACATGCTCTGAACTGATAGGCTACGGATGTACTAGGACCTCAAGTTCTTCTCTACTATAAAATGTCCAACAAAGCCGGGGATATGACCCTTTGAGGACAAGGAAAAGAAGCATGCAATGTGCACTGATCAAAACTAGCATACAGATAAGGCTCATACAGTACATTGTGTATCAGATGAGAGCAAAGCATAACATAATTCATTGTACATGACACTGAGTGTTATATCAAATTAATATGGGGTGTCACATGGCCTAATTAAGCAGAGAGTTACAGTGGTTCAGAATATCACATTTCATAAATTATCTAATTATCTTAATACTAGGATAGAACACTGTATGTAGTGCATTTTTTTGCAATGCCAATCACAAAATAGTAAGACTTGATTTGGAATTACAATTGATCTGGGCTGTTTTTTCACCTGTTTGTTTTTATACTTGCTGGTATAAATCATATTCAAATGTAATCGAAACTGTGGGGAATTAATTCAATTGAGTAAGCTAGCTGAGAGAGCAGAAATACTTTGGAATTTATCGAGGGTACGTGTTTGATGGGTTGATAGCTGCATGGCCTATTTATTGATTTTTCTCTCCAACTTTCCTATTTGTGTTTTTGTTATTCAGTGGGTATACTGTAGTGCTAAAATAGTCTTTCCAGCAGCCAGTTCTGCTTGCTATAAATTCCTTTACGGTTTTGATTGTTGTTTTGTTATTTATTCACTAGCTGTCTCTTTTTCACTATTTATAGATGAGTACCCAAAACAAAGGAGGATGAGAGAGACGAGAGAGAGAAGAGAGAGAAGAGAGAGAGAAGAGAGAGAAGAGAGAGACGAAGAGAGATGAGAGGAGAGAGAAGAGAGAAAGAGAGCGAAAGAGGACTGGAAGAGAGAGAGAGAGGAAAAGAGAGAAAGAGAGAGAGAGAGAGAGAGCGAGAGAGAGAGAGAGAAGAAAGCGAGACAGAGAGAAAGAAGAAGAGAGAAGGAAGAAGAAAGAAGAAAAAGGAGAAGAGGAGAGAGAACGAAGAGAAAAAAGAGAAGAAAGCCCCTACCTCTCCCTCCCTCTCTCCCTCCCTCTCCCTCCCCTCCCTCCCTCCCTCCCTCCCTCCCTCCCTCCCTCCCTCCCTCCCTCCTGCCTGCACAGCACTCCTCTCCACCTGCCCAAGCTGCTGTGGCCTTGTCTGAATGCTGCGAATTCCCAGTCCACTGCAGCGTATCCACATGGAAACACCACAGATGTCAGCATTCACAAAGGTGCAGAAACAAGGAAAGTGATAGGATGAAGATGTCAGTTATGGCAAATAGAACTCTGCCTCTCTGTCACGTCATTGGAACATCTCTGTCTTTGATTGTTGTTAGGCACTACTCACACTATCTAATAAATGTCCAGAAGAACATATAGGGCTTATCCCAAAGAGTTCAGCTGTAGGCAAATACACAATCATAAAATTATAAAGCACAGATTCCGAAGACATGATGCATAGGAGGTCCTAACTCCAGCATAAAGAAAGTATATAAATCATTACCTCACAGCATGTGGTGTTTTTTTGTCCCCCCATCGATTGTTCACTGACCTAGGGCCTTGAGATATCAAATTGTCTCCATATACAATTTAATTCCTAGCAGAGAGGAGACGGGGAGTTTGGAAGTGACTAAAGCGTTTTAGTAGTTGGAAGAGAATTAGGAGGAGGCTCGAGATGTTGATAGGCTTTCTGGTTGTTTTCCCTTGGTCCTCTGGGGCTGGAGAGAAGGATCAGGGGGTGAGAAGTCAAAGGGAGGACAAGGTGACTGATTGAGCCGAGGCAGCAGGTCAGCACTAGGCAGCTGAATCAAACTCAGTCAAGGATTTTCCCCCCGACTACTATCAGATATATCATCTGGCTCTGTCAACACTTCTGTCCAGCTGGATGCAGTACACTTATTATTTACACATGTGCACATGAAGAGGGACATACACAGTCACAGAAATACGCTCTCTCACACACAAACATGAACACATATGGAACACATATTAGTAGTTGTGGAAATGAACAATAAACCTAGGTAATCAACAGTTCATTTGAAAATGAAATAGGGTACAAATCTGTATTCTTTGAAGTACAATGCCAGTTGTATAACCCTGACAATTCTATCAAACGAAATCATTTGCACAGGGACAAAATTACAATTGAAAACCACCTCTAACATTTGAAATATGACAAGCAATTAATATTTTTTAAAGTATATTATGCTCCTCTAACATCAACTAAGGACGGTGATAATCAAAAGGAAAACCCATGGGGAATATGAACTACCATCAATTAAAGTGGAATCACAGAAGTAGACCAATTCCACTATGGACATTTGAAAAAAAACAATTATATTACACATGATTATGTAAAATACATTAGCCAGACAATTAGGCGACTATAATTGCATCTAAATTACACATTGATAGAAAATAGAAATGAATCCACCAATCTACAGAGGTTTGATCTGTCCCTTTCTAAGAAACCTCAGATACACGATTCTTCCTTTCAATAATCCTTTAGCCATTTTATTCACTGGATTGTCATTACAAAATTCAATTACGTGGAACACCTGAACTAACAATATCTCCTAGCCAATTATGCAGTGTCTGGGAAACCGTTAGCAAACAAATTACCAATGTTCATGTGAGAGATTGACTTGATATTCTTGGCGTTGTATGCACAGTTTGCACACAAAGGCAGCACTGCCCCACACCTCCCCTGTTATTGCCTATTGTTGACTGACGAATGAAACAGCTTGGCCTTGATTTGAGAATAAAAAAAATGGAAATCTAGTCTGCGAGGCTGTTCAGTAGAAATAGAATAGTAATTCTATAGAATAGTTTTTCTATTTCTATGGGTTGTTCCCTCTCCTCCATTGCATAGCTAATCAATGATTCTCCGAACACTATTGTTTGGCTTATCACCATAGAGATACATGGTTATCACAATAGAAATATAATCTATTTGTATGGTTATTACCATCAACATTCTGTGAAAAGTTTTGGAACAAGAAAGAGACAGCCACAATTTCAGCTTAACCTTCTCTTTCTCCTCCTCTACTCTCTCGCATCTCTCCTTAACATTTCAGCCTAACTTTTAAATATTTAACAATGAAAAGTAAATCAGAAGAGATCTTGGCAGTACTATAGCCCTGAGTATTGATTGGGCAGTGGCCCAACATTCCCTCACTAAAGAAAGATTAAAATAACAGACTCATCAAACACATTTATGGAGTCAGTGACCTCAGCCAATCCTGGAGTAGGGAGTCCATAAATCATAGTCCATCTCTGTTACACACAGTGAGTCTAAGGCTCAGTACAGGGAGTCCAGTAGAGGACGGGAGACACTACCGTTACAGTACATAAATCTACAGCAACTCCATGTGGCAATGTTGGGGGGAATTGAGGATTCACTAGCTACATGATGGGTGTGGGATGACAAGATGTCATTCCATATTAAGACCAAATTTAAATACTGGAATACAGGATTTAAAAAAAGTATTGTGAAGCATACACGGTACACAACACATTTGTGTCCCATCGCCTGGAAATGTGTGTTTGCATGGGTCTGTGTGTGGATATGTACGTGTATGTGTGTATGTGTGCATGTGCGTGTGTGTGAAACACACAGAGAGAGATGTATGTATTCAGTCACAGCTCTGGCTGTCCCTCTTTTTCAAACCAAAGCACCACCTGTCAACCTCTTTTCATTACAATTTCCTATACTCCTAGACCTAGCCTATCCACCTGCAGTGGATGGAGCTCCGTCGCTCCCCCCAATCAGATTGAGGCGCTCTCAAAGCCGGGAAAGACGTTCCTATCTCTCTGATCCTGCTCTCTACGCCTGACTCCAGCCTGTGAGGCGTGGAAAGGAAAGGCGGGAGAAGCCAGGCAGAAAGGCAGGGAATCTTGGTTTGCTATCAACAGCTCAGGAGAGTAGCGTTGGCAGCAAGATTGATGACACCCTCCCCGCAAAGTAACAAAGGAACTCCTGCGCATAAGGGCCTGCTTATGGGGCCTGATAGACTTGTCATCCTCTTAATAAACACAGCAGATATGTCAGCAGCAGCAGCAGGAGGGACTGAACCAGACCCAGCAGACCCACCCAGCCACAGGCAGGACCACCGGCTGGCCTGGCACACCCGGCCCTGGGCAGCTCGCTCCATAAGGGGGCCCCTGAAGGAGCTGGAAGGTAGTGCCAGGAAATGATCAGAACATAAACTGGCAAGATATTAAGTATAAATCAATATTTCACAGACACTAAAACCTATACCTGTCTGTTGTCAGAATGGGTTTGCCTGGCAATTGTTCAATGCAACCGAGCTAAGGCAGTAGTTCCATTATGCTACAGTCGATACCTGTGCTAAGATGGGGAAGTTATTAATGTTGGAACTAGGGCCAAAGCTTTTGGTGGATAATATTTATTTCAGGGTTGGCGTGGTTGTAAGAGGTTTGGTTTGGTGATGTGCTTTGTGAAAACAGCACAAACACTCCCAATAATATATTTCCAAAACCTTCAGTTGAGAAGGAATTGATAACTTTTATTACAGTATGTCAGCTCTTCAATCATGTTATTTTTGTGTGCCCAAGAGGACAACAGCTGTGCCCCTTGCCAAAGCAACACCAAAACTCTAGCAGTCCCTCTCCAAAACTCCCTAATCACAGCAATGCTTAGGGGACAATAGTCTCATTATTCACTAACGCACTGGAAGATGTAGAATATGTTAGCATATCATTTGACTTTCGCCAGTGGCTGGGTTTTATTGAAGGACAACACAAAGGGGAAATGGACACACTGGAAAGGATTAAAAAGCTAAATTTAAAATCTTAATAAAATAAATCTCTAGTTAACTGTGTATTTCTGTATTATAAATAACAACAAGTAATCCAATGGACAAACGTCACATCAGCCCTTCTGATTTTAGCTTCAATGGTAAAAAATTAATAAATAAAAAATCACAAGCTTGAGATTCAAAAACAAACATTGTGTTTATTGGTTTCTACTGCTTTGGAAATGCATCACCAAAATGTACAGTGTATGCTAAAATCCAACAATAATGGCAGCAAAATGAGGGGCAATGCCTTTTGAACAAGCAATATTTTATCAAGTTTTGACAGCCAGCATGGATATAAGAGGCTAGAACAGTAAACACCCAAAAAATGACAGGGAGAAAAAAACATTTGATATAGTCTGCCATTTACAATATTCACTTATTTTTTTACAGGAAAAGACATTGTCTCTGTCACGATTCAATCTACAGCCCTCTCCCCAAATGCTGTATAATACCTAGCGAAAGCCAGCAGGGTGTGAAATGGTGTTTTGAAATAAATGAAACCGACTATGAAACAGTGCAGTTGGGAGATATTGCTATGTCAAGCTGACAGGCAATGCCCGGAATGAAGCAAAAAAGTTATTATCCCAAAGAAGAGCCAAGCTGGATTAAATAAAACCCATGATGCCAATAGCAGTGAGTGTCTTTCTCCGTCAGCGGCTCCATTATTGGCATAGAAGAGGAGGGCAAGGCATCATGGGAAATCAATTTCAGTGTCTTCATTCAAAACTCACATCTTAAACTCAATTCAGAGTATGTTCTACAATATAAAACAAATGTTATGCTGAAAATCTTCTACTTTGTGATCTGAGTCACGGGACTCAGTATTGAATTAAGCACAATTTACAGTATTTAATGATGCCTTATTAATTAATGTATGTAGTCTTTGGTTATTGATGATCCAAATAAAGTGTTTAGGGAAGCAGCATCCCAAAATACCCCTTTAGCTTTAGCTTTACAACTCCAGTGGTGACGAGTCACAGGGGAAGACTTTGGGTCATTGGCATAGTGATACAATGCATGGGACATTTAAAGCTAAGAGACAGGCACATTGTAAGCCTTGTACATTTTTAAGGTGGACTCTTATCCTGGGTTTACACAGGTCCTGAGGACCGCCAGACAATGATATATGAGAGACACGGGACAACGGGGGTTGAGGTGGTAGAGGTAGAGAGAGGGGGATGGAGAGTTGATAGAAGAGAGGGGAGGGGTGTTTTGAGAGGAAGGAGAGAATATTGTCTGTGTAGTTGGGGAGGTTGGGGGAAGGGAAGGGTGAGTGTCATGGATGAAAGACCGGCATGGAAAGTGAACCTCTCTTAATGCTTTGTCCCTACTGATCTTAGCCTCAGACAAACCTCTGGCCCTCCTGGGACAAAGAGGACTTAACTCCGTAGGGCGATTATTGTCCTGGATGAGACACTTCAACACACAGTCTGCCATAAAGGTTTGACTAAAGTTGATATATTTTCTTACTAATGGAATGGGAGGCATTACTACCAAAACAATTTTGCTACTTTTTCATAACATGCTAAAACTCTATATGGCAAAAAATCTATGTCATCGCCATAATAGATCTGATAGCAGTGTTCTGTATTGGTCAGTGGTTCCCCCTTCTGGTGAATGATCAGACATGTTTAAAAAGGCTTTCCCCTTTCACATCTCTACTGTGGCTGTTTGTGCTTACGGACATCCTTACTATCTATTTAAAGGAAATAAACTTGACGTAACTTTAATATAGAAAATATATAGTTTTTATTTGTATTATCAAAAGATAGACTAGTCCTCCTTGATTTTTGAGAGCAAGGATCCCGAGGATGAGTGGGTAAGGTCAGAATGACGCAGAGACGTTTGAGGACTACAACAACATAAAACAAAATGGATTTCTCCCATTACTAACTGTTCTTTCGATACTGTAATATATGTGTACCAATAAGCTCTATGAGGTGCATTAATAGGCTTACCTGAGAATGGGACCAATAGATTTTCTGCGTTGGTTGGACACCTCCAGTTGTGGAAATCTAAGAGAAATTATTACAGTACAGGTAAGTACTGCAGACAATAAAAACCCAGAGAGACTACTGAACTGTAAACAGCATGGGTCACCGCTACCTCATGGCAGTTGGTTGGGAACTTAGAACTTACTCAGAGGAGGCAGGCGTAGAGACAGATCTCCGTCTACCCATGGGGCTCTTGGCAGGGCTGAGAACACTGGCACACACTGCAAAATAAACATCCCAGACAGGTCAGTGTACTCTATGACACTCAAGGCCGGCTCCAGGCATAAGCGGTTGCTTAGGGCCCCTGGCCGCTAGGGGGCCCCCAACCCAAAACATTTATAAATACATTTAAAAGACACTCAGTTTTTTGGAATTCAGTTGGGGTCTCAACTTACTGTTGAGAGTTAGAATAGTAGAATATACAAGGTGCAAGTTCGAAATTTGGTTGTGCATGAGCAGTTTTTCTTTTGTTTTGTCAGTCACTGACAGTCACTCAATTAGCCATGTCAGCTAACAATTTTTAGATTGGTAAGTTAGTCTAGCCAGTTATCTAAAATTGTAGTAACCATGGCCGAATACCGACAGGGAACACAGGGCACGTGCCCAGGGGCCCTGACCTCCAGGGGGCCCCCAATGATTTTGTTAGTGACTCTCACTCAGATATAATGAACATGGCAAAAATGTATCTCTGCCCCATGGCAAAATGAGCAGAATTGCAGGGCCCTCAAAAGGCTAGAGCCGCCCCTGATGACACTGCACGATGTGTTCATCTCACAATGCAATAAATAACCCTCAGTATTGCACAATTATGGGCTAGATTTTGTTAAGGGAAGTTTCTTACATTCTAGTCTGGTTTGAGGGAGGACCAGATTGAGACCATCCTGAACAGTAAACCTTAGGGTGGCGCAATCGTCTGTGGACAGAGATAGAGGAACATCTCATTGAACTTTGAAAAACAGATTGTACCACTCAAAACCCCACACACCACTGCATACTTTCCACTGCATACTTTCCACTGCTTTACATAAGCCTAGCTCTATAAGGGGTCATCATTTTAAATGAAGAACTGTGTTGAAATAACATCCCTCAGGACTCACCCGTCATGGACATGGTAGTTTGTACCTTCCGGTACAAGTCAGAGTTTAAGGGATGGAGGTAGTCATGAAGATCTGTGGAGTCTTCTTTCTTAGAATAATCTCCAACTATACCTTTTTTCACCTTTTGGCTACAGAACCTGCATGGCAAGCATAGTCATCATCGGATAGTACAAGATCACATGATAAGGAAAGACTTTTGGCCTTAGTCATAATTTATCAGTCCTGTGGGCAAAAGGTTGGGAGAGTTTTAGAAGGTGCTGGGCACACTTGGGATGAGGTGTTGCCCACGCACTCACTTTTTCCAGCAGAAGATGAGGTTAGGGAAGATAGCCATGATGGCTTCATGGAAGAGCCCTCGGTCTACCTTGCCCATGGCAAAGGCCTGCTGGATGGAATCCCTGGCACTCTCTGCTATGTTAACCTGTAAAAGGAGACAATGAGGACACACTATCAGATACCGGTAGATCAGAATCATGAGATAGATTACATAGATAAAGTATTTAAAATGATGGAATTATAAAAATATCCAACTGGAGTCTGTGTTCTCATTAGTTTTGAATCTAATATCAGCCTCCTTGAATTGTAATGTAAAGCGCAAGCTAAATATCTCACACGTTATCACTCAGCTCTAATATGTTAAGACTGTTCCTGTGGGAGGTCAGAGGGGCTAGGGGGTGAGATACAGTCAGTGGATGAGTTAGTTAGAAACCATACCCTGAGTTTGGGAGAGATATCTGACTTGAGAAAGAGCTTGATGATCATCTCTGCTTTCTGGTGGAGCAGGGCATTGTCATTCTCCCCATACATGCCCGCTGACGCCATCATAGTGTCCGAGTCTGCCATGTTCCTGAAACTAACACAGCACCACAGTAGACACAAATATAGTTCCTTTGTCAGTTAATGATGCATTTCAGGTTAGTAGGCAAATCTGAAATACACCCCATCCAGGAACTAAATCACAAATGCTCTCAATATTCAGTTTAGGAAATTATAATAGATTAATCAAAAATCACCTCTCTGTCTCCAGGTAGAACGACAGATCGTTGACAAGGAACTCCACTGTTATCAGTTTGCGGTTGATGACTCGCCTCTTCAAGTTGGACGAGTCTACGGCCTCCGAGCACAGGTCAACAGATTCAATTTGCCGGCTGCCCATTGATGGTATGTACCCTGAGAAACGTAAAGTTATGAATTAATATAACTACTGTTCCCTGAAGGAACCAGTACCATCAGCTGAGAAGCCAAGGGGGGACAGCTGTAAACTGGGTATACCCCACTTGGGTTCTTGAGAGCTAACTGTGAACTGCAGAGTGAATAGTGGCATCCAAGCTATAAAACCTGGGTAATGCCCAGCTCACCTCCACACAGATATCACTAACAGTCAATCCCTTAAATGACGCCCACTACACCGCATACCACTAGATAACACCTGCTTCTTGCTGCTATATGCCAGGGAGATAGCCTCCATAATCCTGTGGGAGAGACGTTGCTTAAAAAGCTTTCCCGCGGACTGGACAGAAAATAAAGCTGGTCTCACTAGCGCTGTGGCGTCAGGCAGCCCAAAAATCTGAGGGGGCACAAAATACGTCAGGATGGCTGGTGGGTGGTCCAGAGGGGGACTAGTAAATTGGAGGATTTTGCATTTTTCAAACACCCAAAACAGCTTTTTCCTACAATCTAGAGACATAATCATTATGCTTAATTCTATGTAAAAAATACGTATATTTTTCTGCATATCTAAGCATACCTCTTGAGCTGTCTGTATCCTCCTGACTGGTGGTTCTTTTTTTTAAAGAAACTAAATATGCTTCTCTGCATCGCTGCTAAAATCTGGGTAAATGATTGAAAGGAATGCGAGTCTTATTCAGTCCATTTAGTTATTGCTTGCTTTTCTAAAGTCTGCCAACCTTGCCAGCAGGCATGCCAGCTAAGATAGTTCGACAAGCTAGCTACTCTAACTTGATTGATAGCCTGAAATGTCTTCTTGGTAGCTAGTTATGAGGTTGGGAGATTGTGAACCTACTGTATCTGGGCTAGCTAAAGCCAACTTCATAAAATTGTGGCTAGTAGCATTACAGAAATAAATAAATACAAATTAACAGGACAAATCTGAGGGGGCATGTGCCCCTGTGCCCCCTATGGGCAATGACGCCACTGCACTAGCACAGCGTTTCCCAAACTAGGGATCAGGAACCCATGTTGGGTCACCTGATTTGAAAATGGTAGTAGAGCAAGAGCTCTGAAATAAAATTGCAATAATTGCGCTTGGTTCATAGAACCGGGTTTACATTAGTAGATGCGGTTGTAATAAACAGAGAGTTTTCTGTTTTCTTCCTACAAAAGAACTCAGGCTGATCTGTAAGAGACTGTCATAGCCCCAATTAAAAATGTAAACATTGGCCATTGATCACATCACCTTTTTTTACATGGTGGGGTCGCAAATAACCTTTTATATAAAAATGGGGTGGCGGGCAAAATACGTTAGGGAAAAGGGAAAAGCTAAAGGGGATAGCTAGAAGGCTTAAGACCTGTAGAACTTGTGACTGGGCACATAGGCTGCATTAGGATGCACCATCACCTGGACTTGCCAGGGGTAAACTGAGTACGGAAAGCGTCACGGATCATGCGTGGGAAAACCCAATGCAATTAGCCGAAGCTAAAACCAGGAGCAGGGAAGCATCTACACTTTTAAAGTGGAGATTGAACGACCCTGATCAAAAAAGGCCCACAATAGAACAGAGTTCAAACGCACACCATTTAAATAGACACAATCCTTCTGTGGAGGATGCCTCATGCTGAATAATAGCAATACATTTGGAGGTAAAGCTCCAGCCATCAGATTTGGAGGTAAAGCTCCAGCCATCCAGGCCCCTAGATTCCAACTCTTGGCTGCAGGTGCCAACTCTCCAAACCTGGTCTCAGAGCATTTTGTATTAGTCTGTACCTAAATCCGAGACACTTCATTTAGTATATGTTATGTTTGGTATGGTTACATAAGACAGATAATTACTTAAGGCCAAAACGAAAAGAGTGTGGTTGGTCGGGGTGGATGGGTGAGCGTATAACGCGAATTAGCAACTTTTCAACGACTTACTACTTTTTAGCTTCTTTGCAACTACTTAGCATGTTAGCTAAACCTTCCCCTTCCCTTATCCTTAACCATTTTAGCTAACCCTTCCCTAACCCTAACCATAATCCTAACCTTAACCCTTAACCTTAACCCTAACCCATAACCCTAACTCCTAGCCTAGCTAACGTTAGCCACCTAGATAGAATTCGTATCATATCATACGTTTTGCAAATTCGTAACATATAAGACGAATTGTGTGATGGACATCCACCAATTAATACATACCATACAAAACGTAACATATCATACTAAATGGAGTGTCTCGGATTTACGTATAGAATAATACTAAATGCTCTGAGACCAACCAAACCCCCAATGTGCCCGAGACGATAAGCGCGCAGTGTGGGTGGCCACTAATCTCCGCCCAACAAGCAAATGATATCCGAGAACCATGGCTTCTTGGGCCATCAGGAACAAGAACCAACGACAAGCCCTACAGGAGGAAATGCGTAGAGTTTGTGCATGGCCACTGATGCACTAGCGTATCCACCATGAGCCACTGTTAGGAGGGAGAGAGACCAAGTCCCTCCTTGTCGTTCGAGTGTCAGAACACCATCACCATGTTACTATTTGGGCAACGGAGGATAAAATGCTGTTGAAAGAAACCCACAGCCTAACCCTAACTCTATCCCTAATAACATCAGCTACATCACAAGTAAAATAGTGGAATGGAAAAGCTAAACAGAGGAACTTACTTAGAGAGAAGTCATGCCAGTTGTGTCTGAGGTAGGCCTCAAACTTGCTTCTGGTCAGAATGTCCTTCATGGCATTACGGAATTTACAGATGCTTTTGATTAACCTGGAGAAGACGCTCCACACATGTTTCTATAAGAAGAAAAAGAGGAACGAATTTTGTGATAAAAGAATAGTTAACTTTAAAGAAATATAGACGATATGTGCCACATTAGGAATTGAGAGCAGTAGTAGATTCTAAGTTTGAACATAAGTCTCAGCCGACACAGGTTCATAGTAAAGTGGTGACAACTCACCAGTTTGTTTGTGAGGATGACGGTTCTTTTGCTGGTGTCAATAACATTGGTACAAGGAGGAAAGGTCTCTTGATACTTTTTGAACCTGCAGAAGAATAAGGTCCACAATAAATACAAATCAATGTTTTTTATTCATATTCTTTAGCCATACTTTTTAGATTCATCCATAATTGTCTTGTTAGAAAAACATTGTTGTATAGAACATCCTACTGTTTGGCTACCATGCTGCACCATACATAATAAATTATACAACATTTTTACTTTGTACAAAAGAGGACACAAACATTTTGTCCCACAAAATAATATCTGTATCCATGAAACCTTAATGCTTTGAAGCCATGCAGTAAAACATCTGTTGGAAAATGTGCATGTTTTATAGACATGTTATGATCCAACTACACACTTTAAAAGGCAGATGTCCTGCATACTGCAGATAGTGTCTAAAGATAGCAAAAATTCCCAGATAAACATGTGGTGAGCAGCATTAATAAGAAGAGGTATTTTAAATTAACTCATAATATAATAAACTGCTGTAATAACAAAAATATGTTGGAATCACTTATCAAGGTTCAGTACCAGGTTGCCTCCAGAGATTTGATAACCAGATCCTGAGCTGCAAAAAGTATGTCGGGAGAAACATGTCTCATCTTGGGGATCTGAGAGATGAGGTTGGCACTGCACTGAAGATAATCCTCTACAATGACAGACAGACAGACAGGGGGACTTCAATTATAGTTTGTTAATAATATGCTGGGTTCAGTGTGTGGAAAGGCAAACGTGATTTACGGTCTCAAGCAGCCCCAAGGGCCACCAGAGGGTGCTATTAGAGGTCAAACAACGGCAGGAATAATAGCGCCCTCTGGTGGACCTTGGGACTGGGTCTCAAGGGGAACGTAGGCAGGCAGCTGATCGGATAAAAAGGCTTTCTTCATTAGCTGTGATAGCAGTTAATAACAGGCTGCTATTTATTTTTGATATATAGGCGATATGGCCTACTTTCTTAATTCTCAACGTAGAAGTCCCCTGGTCTTTTAAACTCCCATGGCTAGTTGCAGGGTGAAGGATTGAATTTTGAAAATGCTCCGTTATTAAATTAAATACATTTTTGCTCCATGAAGTAATCCAACAGTGTATACACCGCCATCTAGTCCATTTCTGATCCTCTCTCATTGATTGAGCCAGGTGAGTGCCATTCAAAGCGACTCTTGATTTCTGAGTCTCGCTCATGACGTGCAGCACTTTGGGGTGGAACAAAGTCTGTCCTTTTGAGTTTTGAATCAGAGTTTTTACCCGACAAAGTCATGTTAGGATATATCATTTATCCTGTTAGAGCTTTTGTGCCGAACACACTGTGGTGTTTCAGGTGCCAAGTTTATGGTCATGTAGCAGCAGTGTGTAGGAGGGAGATTCCAAGATGTGGGAAGTGTGCAGGAGGGCATGGGACAGAGGATTGTGTAGTTTTGGTGGACAAAGTTGTGTGTGCCAACTGTAGGGGTGCCCATGTTGCTGAAGATCGGAAGTGTCCAGTGCGAGAGAGGCAGGTTGAGGTGACCAGAGGCAGTGAAGAAAGTAGTGGCGCAGTGGTCTAAGGCACTGCATCGCAGTGCTAGCTGTGCCACTAGAGATCCTGGTTCGAATCCAGACTCTGTCATAGCCGGCCGCGACCGGGAGACCCATGGGGCGGCGCACAATTGGTCCAGGGTAGGGGAGGGAATGGCCGGCAGGGATTTGGCTCAGTTGGTAGAGCATGGTGTTTGCAATGCCAAGGTTGTAGGTTCGATTCCCTCGGGGGGCCAGTAAAAAATAAATAATAATAATAAAAAAATAATGTATGCACTCACTAACTGTAAGTCGCTCTGGATAAGAGCATCTGCTATATGACTAAAATGTAGAAGATGATGGGTCAAGGGTGAGAGATCCTGAGAGGATCCCTTTGAGTAGTAGATCTGTGCCAGCACAGAGTGATAGGCCAATGAGTGATATATGCTTCAGTAAGGTTGGCTTCTTAGCGTTCATAGCAATGATTATCAACTGTATCACAGAAAATATATGTTTTGGTGGCAGGTGCAGAGAAGTGCTTGGATGTATGAGATCTGACTTCAGAAGAGTTACAGGGTGTGTTGAGTGGTTGTGTCCCGTCCTCCCAGGCCGTTGGCATGGTGTAGGAGCAGATAGGGTCAAAGTAGTGGAATGGTGGAGGGTGTTAAAAAATTTTTTTACAAAGTGTAATGTATTTACACTCCAGTCCAGTTGGTAGCAGTAATGCCACCCTGTGATTGCCAACCACCATTTCAAAACCAAAGAAGAAGAAGAAGAATACTTTGGAGTGGACAACACCCACCTGTCTCAATCAATAAGAGAAGATCAGAAATAGACAAGATGGTGGAGTATACATTGTTGGATTACTTCATGAAGCAAAAATGTATTTAATTTATAACAGAGCATTTTCTAAATTCAAACATTAGCCATCTAGCCATCAGAGTTTAAAAGACACTGGGGACTTCCAAGCCGAGAACTAAGAAAGTATCGCCATGTAAGGGTTGGTCGAAAATCAGTTTCTTAGGCTATGGCTAAATAGCAGCCTGTTATAAACGACTATCACGGCTAAAGATGAAAGCCGTTTGACTTTAGTCCTTCAGCTAGTAGGCAGACAGGAGGCAAAGGATAAGGTGCAAAAATTGTGGGTTTTATTAACAAAATGGTAGAAGTGGTAGCAGGGGTAGGCCTGCATAATAATGTTGCCAAAAATATGCACACACACTTAACCTACAAAAACAAACAATGTGGACAGTCATATGCTTTCCCCTCACAAAATCAATTAGGCCTACAAAATGAACTCACTCCTAAATCAGGATTTGGCCGGTAGGAAACGGGCTATGTCAAGACAAAATACAGCCTAACCACATATGGATACTGTCCCCTTCAGAGCATACAGATCACTGGTAAAGCCAGGTAGAAATACCTTGAGCCCACTCCCTGTGCAAAACCATTGCCTCAACAAGCAGGGGTGCACATAACAAATTAACTGGTTGAAACCTAATCTACAAGCTGAAGACTACACACACGTGTAGAAGTAGACTATCATAACACCACATCATATTCACAGGCCTTTTTCAATCTAACCTGTATACATGTTTAATACGAGAGCTATCATTAAACAAATAATAAATTGACAAAATAACAGAGACGTCGGGGAAAGGGGGTGCGCGCTTCTGAATCAAATGCGGGTGTACGCAGAGAGGATGTGCACGAGTGGAGCTCAGAGAAGCTGCAACAGCCACGTGGCAAACACAAAAATAAATGCACAAACTGAAAGAAAATAATTTCACTGAGGAGACCTGGGCCCTGCTACAAAGATAACTGGAAGACTTTTTGGCAATGAAGAGTATTGAGCAGTTGTAGGCTACACCAACCTGGACTTAGGGGTAGGCTTAACATAGTAAACATAAATCCGGGACACTCCAATTAGTATGATATATTACGTTTCGTATGGTATGTTTTAATTTGTGGATGTCCATCATCCATTTTGTATGATACGTTAAAATTGCAATTCGTACAATATGTTACGAATTTGCAAAACTTGTATATATGTCACGAATTCCAATTTGTTGTGGGTAACGTTAGCTAAGTGGCTAACGTTAGCTAGGTGGCTAACGCTAGCTGGGGTTAGGGTTAAGGTTAGAAGTTAGGTTAAATGGTTAAGCAAGGGTTATCTAACGTGCAAAGTTGTTGCAAAGTGGCTCAAAAGTAGTTGCAAAGTTGCTAATTAGCTAAAATTGTAAAGTTGTCTGTGATGAGATTCGAACACACAACCTTGGTTTTTACCTTCAGTAACATAACATATCATACTAATTTGAGTGTTACAAATGTACGTTTACTATGTTACATCTAGTCTATGAGACCAGGCTGGCTACACTTTTCTTTAAAAGAGTAGGCTAACTATAGTGCTATGCACATATCATAATTAGGCTAACTCGAGCGCACAAGAGTGTGGCTTTGACTTGTGTTGAGCGTGAGTGTGATGCGCATAGTGACATAACATTGCCTACTGTACAGTGGGGAAAAAAAGTATTTAGTCAGCCACCAATTGTGCAAGTTCTCCCACTTAAAAAGATGAGAGAGGCCTGTAATTTTCATCATAGGTACACGTCAACTATGACAGACAAAATGAGAAGAAAAAAATCCAGAAAATCACATTGTAGGATTTTTAATGAATTTATTTGCAAATTATGGTGGAAAATAAGTATTTGGTCAATAACAAAAGTTTCTCAACACTTTATTCTATACACTTTGTTGGCAATGACACAGGTCAAACGTTTTCTGTAAGTCTTCACAAGGTTTTCACACACTGTTGCTGGTATTTTGGCCCATTCCTCCATGCAGATCTCCTCTAGAGCAGTGATGTTTTGGGGCTGTCGCTGGGCAACACGGACTTTCAACTCCCTCCAAAGATTTTCTATGGGGTTGAGATCTGGAGACTGGCTAGGCCACTCCAGGACCTTGAAATGCTTCTTACGAAGCCACTCCTTCGTTGCCCGGGCGGTGTGTTTGGGATCATTGTCATGCTGAAAGACCCAGCCACGTTTCATCTTCAATGCCCTTGCTGATGGAAGGAGGTTTTCACTCAAAATCTCACGATACATGGCCCCATTCATTCTTTCCTTTACACGGATCAGTCGTCCTGGTCCCTTTGCAGAAAAACAGCCCCAAAGCATGATGTTTCCACCCCCATGCTTCACAGTAGGTATGGTGTTCTTTGGATGCAACTCAGCATTCTTTGTCCTCCAAACACGACGAGTTGAGTTTTTACCAAAAAGTTCTATTTTGGTTTCATCTGACCATATGACATTCTCCCAATCCTCTTCTGGATCATCCAAATACACTCTAGCAAACTTCAGACGGGCCTGGACATGTACTGGCTTAAGCAGGGGGACACGTCTGGCACTGCAGGATTTGAGTCCCTGGCGGCGTAGTGTGTTACTGATGGTAGGCTTTGTTACTTTGGTCCCAGCTCTCTGCAGGTCATTCACTAGGTCCCCCCGTGTGGTTCTGGGATTTTTGCTCACCGTTCTTGTGATCATTTTGACCCCACCGGGTGAGATCTTGCGTGGAGCCCCAGATCGAGGGAGATTATCAGTGGTCTTGTATGTCTTCCATTTCCTAATAATTGCTCCCACAGTTGATTTCTTCAAACCAAGCTGCTTACCTATTGCAGATTCAGTCTTCCCAGCCTGGTGCAGGTCTACAATTTTGTTTCTGGTGTCCTTTGACAGCTCTTTGGTCTTGGCCATAGTGGAGTTTGGAGTGTGACTGTTTGAGGTTGTGGACAGGTGTCTTTTATACTGATAACAAGTTCAAACAGGTGCCATTAACACAGGTAACGAGTGGAGGACAGAGGAGCCTCTTAAAGAAGAAGTTACAGGTCTGTGAGAGCCAGAAATCTTGCTTGTTTGTAGGTGACCAAATACTTATTTTCCACCATAATTTGCAAATAAATTCATTAAAAAATCCTGCAATGTGATTTTCTGGATTTTCTTTCTCAATTTGTCTGTCATAGTTGACGTGTACCTATGATGAAAATTACAGGCCTTTCTCATATTTTTAAGTGGGAGAACTTGCACAATTGGTGGCTGACTAAATACTTTTTTCCCCCACTGTATATATGATACAAAGTCAATGTGATTATTCATTAACCTATAAGTCAGGAAAATAATTTCCTTCTTAGAGGACAAATTATTCTATTATAATCTATTCAGTGTGGTTACTAGCGTCTGCTCGTCTGAGGAAGCGGGCCACGATGCTGTTGATCTTCGTCTTCTGGAGGAGGCTGTCGACGTGCCGCAGCTTATCCACCTCGTGGTAGAAGTTCAGCGCTCCGTGAGCATCATAGGCCCTCAGGTAACGCTTGAAGAATTCCAGGGTTGGTGGGACTTCTCATCACCTCCCCTAAAAACCTTGGTCTCATGGATGGTTTTTTGGCAAAGCTGTGGTCCTTGTCCTTCATCAGGTGGAACGGCTTCTTAGTACTGGATGTCACCACTGGCTTCTTTGTCTCCTCTGAAGGACACATTTTATTGTTATGTTTCATTGACTTATTAATCATTGAAGCTGATATGAAAAGTTTGAATGTAATACCCTGTACTGGCTTCCAGTCATAGTAGAGCCTGTGAGTTTTACTGATCGCCTCCACAGCCACCTTGGGGTACTTCTCAGCAAGGGTTTCAAACGGAAGGTCATACAGATCTGAGAGGTGAGGAGAAAAAAACATGCCTCTGTTTTACACCAAATGGTGTGAGGAGGACAACTCTTGTCCGTAGAGTACTTCTATTACAACCAAATGCTACTAATTTAGTTCTTACTGGTCTTCCTGTAGTGCAAGTGGACAGAGCCTCCCCTGCTGATGTCCTCTAGGGGCAGCAGGGCCCAGGTCTCCTCAGTGAGAGGCTCAGCAATGGCCTGACAGAGAGCCAGAGCCTCCCTCATCCTCCTCACCTGCTGCTCTGGAGCAGTGGGAGCACTGGAGGGCGCTGTCGCTCCATGACTCACTTTCCCCTTTACCTCATTCTGACTGAACTGAGAGATAGAACGATGGAGCGGCGAGTAAAACTACAGAAGGACTCTGGAGTAGCTGTTTGAGAATTCCACTATCCTAATAATCAGGTTAGAAATTAGTTGGTTACCAGATAGAAGAGAAGGACTTTGTCTTCTTCATCCAGAAATGCATTGTAGGTGGGACCCAGAATCTGCTCAAATGGAAAGAGGGAAAACCTTGTACTGACACTGAATACATGGCTTTGTAATCAAGGAGTGAGAAGAAGTATAAATAACAAATCACTTTGCTGTCAACCACATACTGCAGTCAAAAAAGGTTTACCACCCACCTGGCATAGTTCCTGCTTGGCCGTGTAGATCCAGGGCATCACATTGCCAGAGGGGAGGAGGTTTATGAGGTGGCAGACGGTGGATTTGGTCAGGTAGGTGGTGCACCGCTCACCCTCAGGGCGACTAACACACTGCCACGCATCACTCAAGTACACAGCCATTAACTTTCTAGCCAGCACCTGTCTCAGAGCCTTGGAAGGGCCCTCCTCCATCTTGAGCAGGAGGTTGAGGAAGCCATCCAGCTCCTGCCACAGTCCCAGGTGGTGCAGCATGACCCCCTGGCCCCTGACCCTAAGGAAATTCTCATAGGGACCCCCAGCAAGAGCATCAGCGGACAGGGCCAGGGAGAGGTGCTCATCGTAGTGTGGTGTGCCCCAGACCGTTCTGGAAGGAGGAGAGGGAGTAGGGGGGACAGGGGTGGTGGTGGGGGTGATGGAGGGGAGGTGGCAGATGGGGGTCTCCATACAGGCATGAGGGGGGATGATGGGGTCACTGCTGCTGCTGCTGTCCAGACTGGACAGGCTCTTGGATGGGAGGATGGGCATAACAGGGAGGGGGCCAGTTCTGGGCCCAAGAGTAGCAGAGCTCACCTTTCTGAGGAGAGTTCTGGTACTTCTCTTTGAGCTCCCACTTTCTCCTCTCTTGCTTCTGCCCTCCCTCTTGCCACTACCCCCATGTTTCTTGTCACCACCGACCACAATCTCCTCCCCATGCCTACTCATGTAGTGCACTATATTGGTACACTCTCCCTGGTCTCCGTCTCCGGCCATGGGCAACCACTGCTGCATGGCCGGCCCATCAGGCTTCCCTGCTGCCCCAACCCAATGCCCTGTATTAGGCCTCTGATGGGCCCTCCACAGCAGCCTCTTCCTGACTTTGGAGCAGTAGGTCCGGGTCACTGTAAGGCCCTCTGAAGGTGGCGAGCCTAAACTCCACCCCATTGGGTCAAGCGGAGCCGGGTTCTCTACCAGGGTGAGGTTAGAGGCAACGTCCTCGTACTCTTTGGCGATGGAGGCACACTCCTTCAGTTTGGTGATGGAGAGCTTACAGGAGCTGAGGTACTGGGGCAGCCAGTAGGACTGAAGACAGCATAAGGCTTTGGACCTCATCTGATCCAGAATCTGATCCATCCCACCAGGTTCACTCCCTGAGAAGATCTTCAACAAACCCTCTGAGGAGAACCATGGTATCAAAAGAGGTGACATGGTGGTTAACATTGTGTCATGGTGGTACACATGGTGACATGGCATGACAATGGTGTTTACGTACCATGAAACACGTTTAAACTATGTACTGTATAGTATCCATGTTTACTTTGTTGGTATGCATTATAAAAGCCTACTATAATATCGCCATACCAGTCAAAAGTTTTGACACATCTACTCATTCATGGGTTTTTCTTAATTTTTTACAATTGTTTTACATTGTAGAATAATAGTGAAGACATCAAAACTATGAAATAACACATATGGAATCAAGTAGTAACCAAAAAAGCGTTTAAAAAATCTAAATACATTTTATATTTGAGATTCTTCAAATAGCCACCCTTTGCCTTGATGACAGCTTTGCACACTCTTGGCATTCTCTCAACCAGCTTCACCTGGAATGCTTTTCCAACAGTCTTGTAGGAGTTCCCACATATGCTGAGCACTTGTTGGCTGCTTTTCCTTCATTCTGCCGTCCGACTCATCCCAAACCATTTCAATTGGGTTGAGGTCAGGGGATTGTGGAGGCCAGGTCATCTGATGCAGCACTGCATCACTCTCCTTCTTGGTCAAATAGCCCTTACACAGTCTGGAGGTGTGTTTTGGGTCTTTGTCCTGTTGAAAAACGAATGATAGTCCCACTAAGCCCAAACCAGATGGGATGGCGAATCGCTGCAGAATTCTGTGGTAGCCATGCTGGTTAAGTGTATAAATAAAATAAATCAATGACAGTGTCACCAGCAAAGCACCCCCACACCATAACACCTCCTCCTCCATGCTTTATGGTGGGAACTACACATGCAGAGATCATCCGTTCACCCACACTGCATCTCACAAAGACACGGCAGTTTGAACCAAAAATCTCAAATTTGGACACCAGAACAAAGGACAAATTTCCACCGGTCTAATATCCATTGCTCGTGTTTCTTGGCCCAAGCAGGTCTCTTCTTATTATTGGTGTCCTTTAGTAGTGGTTTCTTTGCAGCAATTCGACCATGAAGGCCTGATTCACACAGTCCCCTCTGAACAGTTGATGTTGAGATGTGCCTGTGACTTGAACTCTGTGAAGCATTTATTTGTCACAACACAACTGATTGGCTCAAACGCATTAAGAAGGAAATCAATTCCACAAATTAACTTTTAAGAAGGCACACCTGTTAATTGAAATGTATTCCAGGTGACTACCTCATGAAGCTGGTTGAGAGAATGCCAAGAGTGTGCAAAGCTGTCATCAAGGCAAAGGGTGGCTATTTGAAGAATCTCAAATATAACATATATTTTGATTTGTTTAACACTTATTTGGTTACTACATGATTCCATATGTGTTATTTCATATTTTGATGTCTTCACTATTATTCTACAATGTAAGAAATTGTAAAAATAAAGAAAAACCCTTGAATGAGTAGGTGTGTCCAAACTTTTGACTGGTAGTGTATGTAGCAGGGCAGTGTCAATCAATCATCAATCAATTTGTATCTCTTCAGTCCATTTAAAAACAGTATGTCACGAAGTGCTTTATACAATAACAGTAGGCTAACCCCTGTATGCATCCCAAATGGCATCCTATTCCTTATAGTGAACTACTTTTGACCAGGGCACATAGGGCTCTGGTCAAAAGTGGTATACAGTAACGGGAATAAGGTGATATTTTGGATGCAGGCCCTCCTGTGTTACCAGAGGGGATGCGACAGGTGGTCATGATGATGGAGCCTTCGGTGAGATGGACAGCTCTGATGACAGTAAGCAGGGCCTGGTAGCGGTTCCTCTGAGTCCTATCCTGCTGCCAGTGTATCTGCAGGAGACGCTCCACTCTCACAAAGAACGTCACCAACTCCTCTCCTTCAGGTACACAAGACGCGCGCGCGCATGCACGCACGCACGCACACACACACACACTGAGGACGGAGGAGTAACATTCATTGAGGGCAGAGCCTAATCGATTATAGGGGGGATTTTAGGGACCAACCCAGACGACCAAGATCGACGATGACCCAGATGTCATATACTCACAAATCTTTGCTTACAATCATATCATGAGTAACCTGCTTAATTACTCACACATACAAGTGTTTTCCAGCTTTCTCTGTGCCTCAGATCACACAGGAAACAGAATTCTCAGAGGGCTCAACTCGTGACAATCCAACCTTAAACTGGCTGAACATCTCTCTCTCTGTACCCAAAGTAGCAAATGTCTCACTATTCTCATTGTTGAATTGAAAGTTGTATCAGTTTGTATCAGTATACGTAACTCAGAATGACTATATCATCTTGAGGCCTTTTTAGGCCATTTGCCTTTTAGCTCTTCCACCATACTATTGGCCTTGGCTTTTTTAGCCTCTGGCGCTATTAGCCTTTGCATTTTTACCTGTACCCTGAAAGCTCTGTATTAAAAGGTTTACTTTGACTGGATCCTGGAACTCAAGTCTCCTCTTTTACCTTTTCAAAGTCAACTTGCTACTGCAAAATTCAGTCTACAACTCGCACAAAACCAAATTTCACACTTTGTGGTTGAAACAAACAAGGGCCACTGACCACATAGCTTACATTTCTGTAACTTCCTATCTCAGGGGTATTATGAAATTAAATTTCACATTTTCAAGGCCATAAAATATATTAAAGTAGTTTCTAAAAACCTAAATCATCTCAGAGACAATAAAAAGACGTACCACGAGTGCCTTTGACAAAAGAACAGAAGCGCCTCATCCCTCTCACACTGCCCAGGCATCTCTTCAGCAGCCACTGGTCTGCAAATGTCCACTTCAGCACCTCTGAGAAGGGAATAGCACAATCGACAGGTGTGAAGAAGACTAGAATAGAATAGAATTACATAGCATCCTACCCCTCCCTAAGGAATTTTAACTTCTGATAAAATTCCTTGTCCCTCCCTTTCATATACTGCACACTGGTCACAACACATGCTCTCATCAATACATTTGGTCTATGCTTATATATTATCTCAATGCTTCAAATGGTTTGCTAATACTCAAGACAGCCTGGCCTACTATGACGGGCTGTACCATTGTCTAATGCTTTATTGACAGCTGTATAGTCTTTCTCTGGGATGGAAACGAATATTACATATTTTCTGATGTAAGAGTATTTACCTCCATCATCCCTGTATTGATTTAGTCTGTTTCCATGTATTGATTTAGCCTAACATTATCTTAACCAGAAACAAAGCACACTCTTGCACAACAATCTATTCAACCGATCTACTTCAAACACTGAAATTGCTGTTTGATGTATTTAAGTCTTGACCTTTAGCTTGGCATGATGAAAACTGCAGGAACTCTTTACACAAGGAGTAGTAGTGATACAGCTCTGTCTGTTTGAAGAAAACGAACCGATGCACGCTTAGCCATACAAGGAACCCGCCTCTTCTCACATCCTACAATGGCAATGAATGACAGGCCAGTCAGTAGCAATTTGACTTATCAGCTTGAATGTGGTAATCTTGTTGATCATTTGATTGTTTTGTACACCTAAATTAGTGTGAGTACTTCATTCACTTTTCTAATATGTCTTGGTTACCTGGATGTGTGGAATTTCAGGACAAAGGTACCACTTGTTTTCGGATAGAACACATAACGGAGTCTGACCAAACACCTAGGCCAAGATAAACGTTACAGAAATGTGTGTATCCAAGATATACAGAAACTACAATGGTGTTGATTAACAAGAAATCCGTACATACTGGCAAATTCAGAAATGTATTGAAGAAATCCACAAAAACGTCATCCTTGAAAAGGTCTGCAAGCGCTTTATCACATTGTCTTCCTAGAAATAGACCATAGACAAAAGTCTGTTTTCTTAATTAATAAAATGTTCATAAATTATTAACTTTCAATTGAAATTCAAATGTTGTTACTGATCCAAATGAGCATGCATAGAGTAAAACCATGCATCAGTCATAGCCACCTACCTGTTTTTGGTGTCATTTGAGTTGTGTACCCTCGCATCTTAAACTTCCAAAATACATCTCTTTTGTCTGATCTATGGCGTTCTGGTAAAATGATGTAGTTGTCTATATATAGATGACAACAGCCCTATAGGGACACCATGACTATTTTCTTTACAGAATAAAGTATTTCCACAAGTCTTGCATTCTTGAAGTGATGTCATAAATGTCAAAAGTTCCAAATGTATCATTGTTGGGTGAAATTGGAATGTCTTGTCTTGACACCAGCTCACACTTTGTACTCAACCAATACCTCAAGGCCCAAAGAGATTTATTTTGTTTATTTTTATTTATTTCAACCTTTATTTAACCAGGTAAGCCAGTTGAGAACAAGTTCTCATTTACAACTGCGACCTGGCCAAGATAAAGCAAAGCAGTGCGATAAAAACAACAACACAGAGTTACATATGGGGTAAAACAAAACAAAGTCAAAAATACAACAGAAATAAGTATATATACAGTGTGTGCAAATGTAGCAAGTTATGGAGGTAAGGCAATAAATAGGCTATAGTGCAAAATAATTACAATTAGTATTAACACTGGAATACTAGATGTGCAAGAGATGATGTGCAAATAGAGATACTGGGGTACAAATGAGCAAAATAAATAACAATACAGGGATGAGGTAGTTGGGCGGGCTAATTTCAGATGGGCTGTGTACAGGTGCAGTGATCGGTAAGGTGCTCTGACAACTGATGCTTAAAGTTAGTGAGGGAGATAAGTGTCTCCAGCTTCAGAGATTTTTGCAATTTGTTCCAGTCATTGGCAGCAGAGAACTGGAAGGAATGGCGGCCAAAGGAGGTGTTGGCTTTGGGGATGACCAGTGAGATATACCTGCTGGAGCGCATACTACGGGTGGGTGTTGCTATGGTGACCAATGAGCTAAGATAAGGCGGGGATTTGCCTAGCAGTGATTTATAGATGGCCTGGAGCCAGTGGGTTTGGCGACGAATATGTAGTGAGGACCAGCCAACAAGAGCGTACAGGTCACAGTGGTGGGTAGTATATGGGGCTTTGGAGACAAAACGGATGGCACTGTGATAGACTACATCCAATTTGCTGAGTAGAGTGTTGGAGGCTATTTTGTAAATGACATCGCCGAAGTCAAGGATCGGTAGGATAGTCAGTTTTACAAGGGCATGTTTGGCAGCATGAGTGAAGGAGGCTTTGTTGCGAAATAGGTAAGGCTTGTCCTGCTACTCTACAGTGAACATGATATGATATATAATATGATATTATTTACACTGCTCAAAAAAATAAAGGGAACACTTAAACAACACAATGTAACTCCAAGTCAATCACACTTCTGTGAAATCAAACTGTCCACTTAGGAAGCAACACTGATTGACAATACATTTCACATGCTGTTGTGCAAATGGATTAGACAACAGGTGGAAATTATAGGCAATTAGCAAGACACCCCAAATAAAGGACTGGTTTTGCAGGTGGTGACCACAGACCACTTCTCAGTTCCTATGCTTCCTGGCTGATGTTTTGGTCACTTTTGAATGCTGGCGGTGCTTTCACTCTAGTGGTAGCATGAGACGGAGTCTACAACCCACACAAGTTGCTCAGGTAGTGCAGCTCATCCAGGATGGCACATGAATGTGAGCTGTGGCAAGAAGGTTTGCTGTGTCTGTCAGCGTAGTGTCCAGAGCATGGAGGCACTACCAGGAGACAGGCCAGTACATCAGGAGACATGGAGGAGGCTGTAGGAGGGCAACAACCCAGCAGCAGGATTGCTACCTCCGCCTTTGTGCAAGGAGGAGCAGGAGGAGCACTGCCAGAGCCCTGCAAAATGACCTCCAGTAGGCCACAAATGTGCATGTGTCTGCTCAAACGGTCAGAAACAGACTCCATGAGGGTGGTATGAGGGCCCGACGTCCACAGGTGGGGGTTGTGCTTACAGCCCAACACCGTGCAGAACGTTTGGCATTTGCCAGAGAACACCAAGATTGGCAAATTCGCCACTGGCGCCCTGTGCTCTTCACAGATGAAAGCAGGTTCACACTGGGTACGTGACAGACGTGACAGAGTCTGGAGACGCCGTGGAGAACGTTCTGCTGCCTGCAACATCCTCCAGCATGACCGGTTTGGCGGTGGGTCAGTCATGGTGTGGGGTGGCATTTATTTGGGGGGCCGCACAGCCCTCCATGTGCTCGCCAGAGGTAGCCTGACTGCCATTAGGTACCGAGATGAGATCCTCAGAACCCTTGTGAGACCATATGCTGGTGCGGTTGGCCCTGGGTTCCTCCTAATGCAAGACAATGCTAGACCTCATGTGGCTGGAGCGTGTCAGCAGTTCCTGCAAGAAGAAGGCATTGATGCTATGGACTGGCCCGCCCGTTCCCCAGACCTGAATCCAATTGAGCACATCTGGGACATCATGTCTCGCTCTATCCACCAATGTCACGTTGCACCACAGACTGTCCAGGAGTTGGCGGATGCTTTAGTCCAGGTCTGGGAGGAGATCCCTCAGGAGACTATCCGCCACCTCATCAGGAGCATGCCCAGGTGTTGTAGGGAGGTCATACAGGCACGTGGAGGCCACACACACTACTGAGCCTCATTTTGACTTGTTTTAAGGACATTACATAAAAGTTGGATCAGCCTGTAGTGTGGTTTTCCACTTTGATTTTGAGGGTGACTCCAAATCCAGACCTCCATGGATTGATAAATTTGATTTCCATTGATCATTTTTGTGTGATTTTGTTGTCAGCACATTCAGCTATGTGAAGAAAAAAGTCTTTAACAAGATTATTTAATTCATTCAGATCTAGGATGTGTTATTTTAGTGTTCCCTTTATTTTTTTGAGCAGTGTATGATATACTGTATACCACAGGAGGTTGGTGGCACCTTAATTGGGAAGGATGGGCCCGTGGTAATGGCTGGAGTGGAATAAGTGGAATGGTTTCAAATATGTCAAACACATTGTTTCCATGTGTTTGATGCCATTCCATTTCCTCTGTTCCAGCCATTATTATGAGCCGTTCTCCCTTCAGCAGCCTCCTGTGTTATATTTCATTATATATTGACCCCTTTCTCTAATCCCCATCAATATTATTATTATTATTTATTATAATAATTATAATTATAATCATTATAATACTATTATTGTTGTCATTATCTCACTTCGCTTTAGCAACAGTGGCTTTGTCATCCATGCTAATAAAGCTTATCTGAATCTAAATCTGAATCTGATATGGCCTACTTCTGAATAATACTGTACATAAATTAACATCCTGTAGTAGTTCATTGTGCAGAACTCTGATTTGATCAATGTTCCAGAAATGATAAATGTGTACCTACAAATGCTAATGTAAATTATTTCTATAGCATACTAAGGTTCTTCATCAAGTGTATTATTTTCTAAGATGCGAAACTAGTTCAAAAAATATGTAATTGGTTTTCAGTTGTATGAAATTATAGGCCTTGGCTGCTAGTATATCTGAGTACATCAACAGACAATAGCCTATTTTTACCACGGGGTGGCGTTTGGAATATAGCTAATGCCAGACCAGCGCATATTAGATACAGTGGGTTCCGTACTGGATACATTGTAAAAGTGTCATGCAATGCCACGCAATACATTTTAACTATACCAGAGGGCGTTGCGCCTCGAACCCCGTCCAATGATCGAGCCGCTTGTGCTTTCAATCACCTTGGAATACACAAAATGGTTTTTCTCTGACCAATCAAAGACGCCGGGCTACAGCTCTCTTGTTATAAAAGAAACTGAAACGTGTGTTAGAGGCTAGAGAATGAGAGAACAACTATCGGGATATTGCTGAACATTACAGTGGACCTGCCAGTCCTTTAATTTTACATTTCAATTTTCTCGTTTTTACAGGTAATTTACTCTCTTTTTCCTTATGATAAACTGTATGTCTACCCTTATTTGTCCTATTCTATTGTAGCCTAGTTATTTACGCGTTCCAGATAAGAAGATCGCACCTTTTTGTTTTGTTTCAAATTGGGACACTTTGTCCTTTCAGTTGAAATGGTTGTCTTTAGTCATATTTAGTATAGTTTGTGGTGTCTTTGCTGATTTATTGATTTCCTCTCTATGATGTAGTGTTATTAATTGTGCTGTAAATTATGATGTAGGAAGTGTGATGTAATAGTCAATTGCAATAGTGTAGCCATGACTCCAGTGGGTGGGAACTATGACTCCAGTGGGTGGGAGGGTATTCTGGGAATGACGCAACAAGAGGTAGGCTCGTCGGTTTCCTTGACGGTCGTAAAGGATGCTGATGATGAAATATTGGTGAGAAATGTGTTAATTAGCTTTATGGTGGTCTGTAGCCTACCAATCTAGGAATGGTCATCTGATAAGCACGCTGTGATCAATATGGCAGAAATATATGTATTTTTGTCAGACTTGCTCTACTTGAAGTGGTGCAAACATCTGTTTTGACACTAAAGAAAATGCCTAAGTAAGATATCCATCTTCTCATGCATGCTTTGATTTAGTTCTGGAACAGTGAGCAACCCTGTAGCTCAGTTGGTAGAGCATGGCGCTTGCAACGCCAGGGTTGTGGGTTCGTTTCCCACGGGGGGCCAGTATGAAAATGTATGTACTCACTAACTGTAAGTCGCTCTGGATAAGAGCGTCTGCTAAATGACTAAAATGTAACTAGTTGTTATGCAACACATCCTCCTTCAAGGGAATCAATACTGATCAACGAGGTGGCTGCTTTGATGTGTAAACTCATCATACCTGTTTATTTATTTTTTGTCTCTCCCTAGGTGTTTTATAACAAATAAGATGGCTACGTCCTCCAGTGCAGAACTGAGTAAGGCTGTCAAACAGCAGTACATGGAACTCCCTCAGGGAGACAAAGTCCAAGTCATGTATGTCTGGATCGATGGAACCGGAGAGGGACTCCGCTGCAAGACCAGAACATTGGATTCGGAGCCCAAGAGCATTGAAGGTAAGCAACGACTGTTGGTTGACATTTGACGTAAAGTTCCAGGAGATTTATGCATATGTATTGTTTTGTAGCCTAGCCTACCTAGTTGTTTCAAGTGACTTGAGTAAACTCACTCTTTCTGTGGCTTGATTCTGTAGAACTGCCGGAATGGAACTTTGATGGCTCCAGCACCTACCAGTCTGAGGGCTCAAACAGTGATATGCATTTGATTCCTTCTGCAATGTTCAGAGATCCTTTCCGCAAAGACCCCAACAAACTGGTCCTGTGTGAAGTGCTGAAGTACAACCGCAAACCTGCAGGTAATTTTTGGTGTACATCGGTCTTGCTAAGCTTTTTTTATTTCATATATTTTTATTTCAGTGTCTAATATAGGTAAGTTCTTTGCACAGAAACCAACCTACGTTTGACGTGTAAGAAAGTCATGGACATGGTTGAGAACCAGGTCCCTTGGTTTGGCATGGAGCAAGAGTACACCATTTTGGGCACTGATGGACACCCATTCGGCTGGCCCAACAACGGCTTTCCTGGCCCACAAGGTAAAGACTGTTCTTAGTGGTCTTTGACTGGCCATGTAAAATTCCTCCTCAGATGCATTAGTTTGAATGTGATGGGTACTATTCTTGATCTAACCCTGTTCTTATGTGTACAGGTCCCTATTACTGTGGAGTGGGAGCTGACAAGGCTTACGGTAGAGATATTGTGGAAGCCCACTACAGAGCCTGCCTGTATGCTGGGGTCATGATCTGTGGCACCAATGCTGAAGTCATGCCTGCACAGGTAAGAACAATATCTTTATGTTTTGACTTAGTCTAATGGCTGATCCTATGCAATGACAGACTTACCAGCAACTGACTGATGTACTCAAACTCTGGTTTGTCTTTCTAGTGGGAGTTCCAGGTTGGCCCTTGTGAAGGCATCAGCATGGGTGATCACCTCTGGGCAGCTAGGTTCATTCTCCACCGGGTGTGTGAGGACTTTGGCGTGGTGGCCTCATTTGACCCCAAGCCCATCCCTGGAAACTGGAACGGCGCTGGCTGCCACACCAATTTCAGCACAAAGGAGATGAGGGAAGAGGGCGGGTTGACGTGAGTACTGGATCATATCAAGATGCATTCATACTAGGTTTAATCATTAGTCCCGAGTGGCGCAGTGGTCTAAGGCACTGCATCGCAGTGCTAGCTGTGCCACTAGAGATCCTGGTTCGAATCCAGGCTCTGTCGTAGCCGGCCGCGACCGGTAGACCCATGGGGCGGCGCGCAATTGGTCCAGGGTAGGGGAGGGAATGGCCGGCAGGGATGTAGCTCAGTTGGTAGAGCATGGCATTTGCAACGCCAGGGTTGTGGGTTTGTTTTCCACGGGGGGCCGGTATTAAAAAAATAATAATGTATGCACTAACTGTAAGTTGCTCTTGATAAGAGCATCTGCTAAATGACTAAAATGTAATGTAAATGTAGTCTTATTTATTCAATTGCATTTGGATGTTGAGTAAAGCCAGACTTATTAGAATGCTCTTCAGGCAAAGCAGATGGTGTTGACCACCTGTGAGCTTTTCTGTGATTAACTAATCTCTTTCTCTCTGCTCCAGGGCCATTGAGGAGTCCATTGAAAGGCTGGGGAAGAGGCATAGCTACCACATCCGCGCCTACGACCCTAAAGGGGGGCTTGACAACGCCCGTCGCCTCACCGGACACCATGAAACCTCCAACATCCACGAGTTCTCTGCCGGCGTGGCCAACCGCGGCGCCAGCATCCGCATCCCTCGCACCGTGGGCCAGGAGAAGAAGGGATACTTCGAGGACCGCCGCCCGTCTGCCAACTGTGACCCGTACGCCGTGACTGAGGCTATGATCCGCACCTGTTTGCTCAGCGAGGAGGGAGACGAACCTGTGGACTACTAGATCTAACTAGATCCACAGCCCTCTGGACTGAATCCCCTTCGCCTCCACCCCTCTCCTTTCTAAATGGCTGAAAAGTCAAACTAGTACTGTATTTGTCATTATTTTTAACTGAAATTATTCTAACCTTGTATTTCTAAATAGTGTGAAGTTGGCTGGTCAACTTAACATGGAATTAAATCTGGTGGTTAACATATGAAATGTTTTAAAAAGATGGTGGCTGAAAGGGCATTGTCTTTCCCCTCTCATTTGAGTGTTTTCTAGTGGGGAGTATTATGTAACATAACTGTCTTTTAAATCCCCATTTGATCTCGCTTTCCCTGCCGTCTGTCGAACTGAAATAAACTAAAGCACATGTGGACACTGAAGACTATGGCTGGGCGGCATGTGTAATTTTCTTAATGACCTATGGCTAGTTTGTGTACTTTATGCATGTTGACCTGGCTTTTAAACTCTGTACCATTTTAATTCAATATTGCTAACTATAAGAAAAAGTGTGGTTTTTAAATGCCAACATTCTTCAGATTTTACACACTACTGGATCATGTTGTATGGTACATTCTTCAGCCGTCTGGGCCCAAATCCTGTTGTCTTATCCGTTTGGGTCTGTCTTACCATTTGTAGAGTTCCTGTAAGACTCATGAAGGAGTTTTATCCTTTTTGTCAACTGATATATTGTTATGGCACATGATTTGTTAAAACCTGAATTTGCTGAACCTGGTGTTTTTTATTGAAACATTTAATTTTTACCATGACTTTGACTTTGTTTCTTGTCTCAACCGGTTTACTAAAGGCCAACATGGCTGCGTTTACACAGGCAGCCCAATTCTGATGAAAAAAAATATATATATTCCACTAATTAGTCTTTTGACCAGTCAGATCTGAGCTGCCTGTCTAAACACAGCCCATTTGGCACGTAGGACTAATGCAATGGTATAGCAGAACCAAGGCATTTCTCAAGTGAAATCAAGCTGATACAAATTCCTTTGAGGAAATTCATCACATTGCATATAATCCCTGTTGAGAGCCAGCCTGCAAAACTGGAAGTCTGAGGAAAGGGTTTGAGTGGTGGATGGTCTCTGTGGATTGTATTGCATTTAACACATTGAAACAAGCACTGCAGGGTATTCTCTGGCATTGATGCCCAGGAACATGATCACAGTAATTGAATATGGAATAGAAGCCTTAAAATATTTCTTACCAGCACATGTGCACAAGGGAGACATACATTTTCAATCAAGATTAATCTGGAATCATAAACTTAAACTAAATCCAGGCTGTACCTTTTATAGACCCTAATTAACATGGTGTGAATAGTGTTGTGTATTGGGCTACAGCTGGGCATGTTGCTCTTTCATGCAAGGGTGTTGGGGAATGTTTTCCAGCTACATGTAGGAGGAGATTTACAACTGAAAGGACTGCTGAGTTGGAAAACATCTAGCCTCCCCCACCAGGGCTGATAGTATCACGGCTAGGAACAAAACATCCAGTATAACCTCTCTTTGCTCTCACGCCCAAAGTGTGGTACTTATAGCCTGACAAGTTCATCACCAAGTGACAAGCAGCTGCCTACCATTGACGTTGGCACTGATTTCTTTGCCACATTTCATTGTTGAATGACTACGGTTCCCATCTTGGGATTCACAGCCAATCATTTCTGAGTGAGGTGTTTACTTGGTGTTAGGGCTGGAATAGGTTGTACATGGTGTCCTCACAAGACTGGTTCTCTGTCTGAGAGGAGGTAAGGGTATTTCCTGCATGCCTGGGGTCATGTGAGGAGAATATGGCTAGAGATATTGTATCAAGGAAGGGCTCCTCAGATAAACCACCCTTGTCCTCCGGCATGGTTGGTAGCAGACCTGGAGGTTAAACTTTACTTTCAACATTGTTTGACCTGAGAAGTATGACTTTATTATTCTGTTCAATTTCGCCTCTGAAGCCCAGGACATGCAAGACTATATTCAACTCACACACAGTAACTGATACACATTTCATTTCATTTGATCGGGCAATCCTGTTTTAGATGACTGCGCCACTGATTTTCTTAATAACATTATGTTATCCACTTTAAAGTTTGTTAATCAATTTAAGCTCCTTCTGGGACTACACACACCTTTCACATGGATACTGAGGGAAATGCCATATGATCCTACTGATCTGAGCTTGCAGCGGCAGCCTGATCCTGTGTTTCTGCTGATTCATCACTGTCCCCTCCCTTGGCTAGACTGGACCAAACCAAGAAATGTTGATATTTATGGGACAATAACAAGTCTTTTAGCCAGGGAAGATGTCAGTCAGTCATAGAAATTACCCTGTAGAGTCGTCAGGTGTTAGAAAGGTTATTTGTTTACTCTGTAAGGGAACAAGGGGGTATTTTTTCTCATAAGGGGTATACTACAAATCAGAGTCAATGCGTTAGCCAGCTAACTTGCCTAAATATTCTGAAATAACATGAAATGGGTATGGTCTACTTGACTCAACATCCCAAAACACATCCTTAAGTTTAGCTTTCTTAATGAACCAGAAAATCAATATTTATTTCTGGTTGTTTGTTCAAAGCTAGCTGGCTAACTCATGATTGTGCTTTGTAGTGTACCCCTCTGGACTTCACGGGACATACATACATATTGACTTAGCCTTTCCTCCCTCTGCTGCCTGCCTGCTGGGGAAGGGAGGGCTGGCAAGTTTTGTTGCGGGACTTTTTACCTAGATATCATCTGTCCCTACAACAGAAAAGTTACAACGCTTACTGATTGGCTCAGTGAGAAGCAAGTCAGCCAATCATAAAATAGAAAGCAGGTCATATCCGCACTATGGAGAAAAGATGCCTGGAAAATGTCTTAGACATGTACAGAAAAGTTGCCTGGCAAATGTCTTAGACATATACTTTAACTTTGTCATGTTTTTCTTGGCATTTTTTTCCCAAATTCTAAAAATAAGTCCCTGCTCCAAAGCAGGTCTTGTGCTTGTATGTTTTTATATCAAAAAGTGTTACTGCTGCCTTTAGTAGACTGTCAAGTAATAAGTACCACAAACATTAGAAATGCAATGTTTGAAGTCTTCCTACACTTTATAAATCTTTAAATATCCTAAAAAAATGTATTCTAGGAAATCTTTGTTGACACAGGCCCCACCCCCATCTTGAGAGAAAATGTATCAAAACAAAAATATCTGTAGGGGAGAGTGGTGTATGTGAGACATTTTTTTACATTCAGCATCACTATGTCAAGTAAATTAAGGAGGAATAATAAATAAATAAAAATAGCAAACGCTCTTATCCAGAGCAACTTACAGGAGCAGTTAGGATTAAGTGCCTTGCGCAAGGGCACATCAACAGATTTTTCACCTAGTCGGCTTGGGGATTCAAATCAGCAACCTTTACGGTTCCTAGCCAAACGCACTTAACCGCTAGGCAACCATGCATGTACATTGCAAGTATCAAGTATTGCAATTACAGTTAACCAGCTATCTGCCACCCCACTATTAGGTCTGGACCCCTAAGCATGAGTAGTGAATTTCTGTAGATGCAAGTATCGATGATAGAGGCATTCAATGCAATACAGTAAGGGATACATTTGTATCAACAACTCCTATTCAACATTGTAAGATGAAATAGCATCGTGGGAGGAACAATGTGCGTTTATTGCTTGTAACACATCGTTCCATCCTTAACCCATGCATGCATGTCTATGGGTTTTCCAGTTTGCACTGGTTATGCTCTCTTACCTAACAGAAAGGGGGGGGGTGTAGGCAGGGGAGGGGGTTTAAACCACATAGGATCTACATACACAATTTCTGTTTACAGTGTCACCAAGCAAGCTTTTGGTTGGACAGCCGCCATGTCACCACCATTCAAATGTCCATCCCCCCACATCCCCTTCTTGGAAACTCAATTAGGGGATCCCAGCTTGCATATCAAATTCCAGTAGGCTCTTCCCTGAGAAGCTGGAGCCATGCAGAGAGGGAGTCGCTTGGACAAAGGATGGGGATGGACGCTGCTGCTCTGTTGCTATGACGACCACCGGAATGTACAGGCTTGGTCGAGATGGTTCTTGTTTAGACTGGGAATAGGAGAGGAGGAGAGGGGTGTGAAAAAAACATCCTTGTTATGTAACATGGAGAAAAGAAACTGAATCAGTTCTCACAAATGGAACCTTGTGCAATACCCGCAACCATAGCCCGGTTCCAAGATTTGGGTCAGTCAACCATGCAATCATGCAATCACGTATCAATTCTGTCAATGCAGATTTCCGCCCGACTTTGCCCTTTATCACCATAGTGTTAATAATGTTTAAGAGAACAATGCATGGCATATACAGTCTTATTAGGTCATTTAGTGTGTAAAACAGCATATCGTTGCATTTAGAGCCATCAGAGCAATCAATCAGCTGTGTTGAAGCTCTGCCAATGTCTCTCTGCATTGCATTGCAAAAACACTCTTCTCTCTAGCCGTTGTCTGACACATATTATGCCAGTTCAATCCAGTGCTTCACCGTTTCCACTCAAATGTACAGCTAGTCAGACAAAGCAGGTTAGATATAGACGGAATGGTGTGATATAAAAATAGCAAAAGAGAGAGAAGAAAGAATGGATGGAATTCATTCTGCAGAGGACCATGTGGCAGAAGTAGACTAAGTGCAGACTAGGAGCTGTGTCTGTATTGGCAAGGAATGCCTATAATCCTATTAAAGATAAAACAGTGTGAGTTTTAGGAGCGTTTGAAGTAAAGAGGGGGATTTGCTGCATTCCCCAGTCTGTCAGAACCCTCTATCTATGACTGGACACTATCTCATAGCTGTCAATTTGCCTGTGTCATGGAGGAGCTGTATTACTGCTTCTTGCCCTGTGAAAGGAGAACATATTGTATCTCTATTGTGTCCATGGATGCACACCGGGTACCCTGTACACACTCATATACATTACTCATGCACAAATGAACATGTAGGTACATATAAGCATGCACACATGTACACGTCAGAATCACATGTACAGACATGCATGTGCACATTGGCGGAAACAAACATGCTCATACAGCAGACACACGCACGCAAACAGAGACAGAGGCAGCACTCTGCACGCTAGGAGCCTCCTGATTGGTTGAGCAGTGTGGTGTGATTGGACTGATGCTAGATTCTCCTAGGCCAGTCTAACTCACCTGCGACGCAATTGGCCAAACCATTTTGTATGACACAGTGACACAGTTTTCACTATGCTACACTGCTGCAGACTACTGAGATAGTTTATTTGTCCCTGTATGACTGAGGGTGCAGTGTGATTAGCACAACACTTCAGTTTATTACTCCTCAAATAGTGAAAGTGACTTGCTTTGACCATTTAAATTAGGGTTGGAGAGAGGGTTTGAAGTGGACTTGTGGCAACATGTCTTACTGAGGGCATGTAC